CCGGGAACCATGGGGCCGGCTTTGCCCGTCTGGCCGTGGGTGGGGAGACGGTGGCGGGACAGGGGCTGCCTGGTGGTGGGGCCGAGACCCCCGGCTCTCTGTGCCGGGGCGTTGGGATGGTCTCTGAGGCACCTGTGTGAGGTGAAATGTGTTCACAGCCACCCTGCCTGAAGTTGGGTTGCGCTTCTGAGGTGTCTTGTGCAGCCCATTGCATTGATTGTGAGGGGAAAAAAAAGGACTAATTCATCAGAGTTTATGTAATTTTCATTTTCATTTGGAAATGTTAAATATGTTGATACTGTGACCATTAAAGCAGCAGAGGGGTGACTGCCAGTGTCAAGGTAAAATATTTGAAATGTTGTTGGGGAATGGCTTAGTTCAGTCTCAAATGTGGGGTGGCATTTGTTAATCAGGAAGGCAAATGTAGTCTTTTGAAGGAAAACACGTTTCCAAGCAGTGGAAACATCCAGAGAGAGGAGAAGAGCCTGGATATACTTTGATTAACAGATTTTGTTAAAAGTTGACATTAAATTTCCTACATCAGATCAGAACCGAGGTCTCATTAAATTTAGTATCTCCTCTCTGTTAGCTGACACCTCCCTCGGGTCAGCTTGTTCTCTAAAGCAGATTTGACTAATTTTTCCTTTTGGTGTGAGTGTTTTCTGCTTAACAGTGGGGGATTGGTGGCGAGTTGCTGGGTATGAACAGATGTTCAGCCTTCATGGTTCCTCTCAGCTGTGCAGAACCTAAGGACATCTTCGAGACACTTGTTTTATTTTCCCAACCTGGTGACCTGCAACTATAATTCCTTCTGCCTACGCCTGTGTGAGGTGAAATGTGTTCACAGCCACCCTGCCTGAAGTTGGGTTGTGCTTCTGAGGTGTCTTGTGCAGCCCGTTGGGTCTTGTGAGGGGAAAAGGCCCCAGCTCTGCTGCCGGATTCTCCTTTTCCCTCCGTGTCCCTGTTCGCTGGCACCTCTCAGGGAGCCAGGGTGTCTCTGTGTCCCACTGCTGGTGCAGAGGATGGGCTGGTGGCAATGGAATGGGATTCACCCATCGCTGTTGTGGGGAAGGTGGTACCGAGCAACCCCGATGGATGAAGAGTGTTTAGGCCTGCAGGATCAGCTAATCAGTGAGGATGTGGTTAGAAGGTCGCAAAAATAAGATTAGGACAGGCACTGGTTTCTTTTTGCTCTTGGGCCCCTCTTGGTGAGACCTCACCTGGAGTATTGTGTGCAGGTCTGGAGCCCTCAATATAAGAAGGATATAGACCTGATGGAGAGGGTCCAGAGGAGGGCCACAAGGATGATCAGGGGGATGGAGCACCTCTGCTACGAGGACAGGCTGAGGGAGCTGGGGTTGGTCAGCCTGGAGAAGAGGAGGCTCCGGGGAGACCTCATAGCAGCCTTCCAGTACCTGAAGGGAGCTACAGGAAGGCTGGGGAGAGCCTGTTTAGAAAGGCCTGCAGTGACAGGACGAGGGGCAATGGCTTCAAGCTGGAGGGGAACAGATTCAGATTGGAGATTAGAAGGGGGTTCTTCACTGTGAGGGTGGTGGAGCACTGGAACAGGTTGCCCAGGGAGGTGGTTGAGGCCCCTTCCCTGGAGATATTCAAGGAGAGGCTCGACGAGGCCCTGGGCAACCTGGTCTAGTTGGGGGTGTCCCTGCTGACTGCGGGGGGGTCGGACTAGATGGCCTTTGGAGGTCCCTTCCAGCCTGGGAAATTCTATGATTCTATGATAATTCTATGGTGTTGGACTCTGGAGAAGAAGATGTGGTTCCAAGGCCTGGTGGTTGCCCCCGTAGTGGGTGTTTGGTGGGCTCCTTGCCTCTTACGTGTGGGGCTTCCTCAGGAGGAGGAATAGACTTCAGCATTAATGATCTCACTAGTTAATGTGATGTCTCTACCACTCGTGCTATTGTGCAGGTCCAAGCCTCAGTGACAGGTTTTCTTTGTCTGAAGCTTGTTCTTCTATTACTGCTCAAATCTGGTCATCTTCCTGGATCTTAAATCTCTCTAAATGTAAACTACAGAAGCTCAAACTCCACTTTACGCCGCGACAGTCCCAAGTGACGGGTGGTGTAGGAGCAGGGAGTGCAGGAATACCTGTCTGCTATGCTCCTCTGACTTCCCTGGTACCACACTGTTGATGTATTTATACTGCCTTGACGTATTTATTGTTGAAAATATGCTATTTATCCTCAAAACGCCTCAGAGAGGACAAGATACTCTCCATTTTGGAGAAAAGCGAGACACAGAAACTAGATTTCTCCAAGATACAGGTGGTATCTAGTGAAGCAGAGAGATGAATCCAGATCTCTTGAATCCTGACTTTCTGGCAATTAAACATCAGTTCTCTCCTTTTTCAAAGTTATCTGCCTTTTTTTTTCCTCTCATCAAAGGTATTTTGGGACACATTACGACTGCCAAAAAGTTTAACTACCTCCAGTGACGTGTGTAACATCTTTCAGGCTTCCGGATTAAGTGACAGATTTCTTGAAAAAGGAGAAAATAAGATGGCATTTTCTATATAGTCTAATTCCCACACCTGCAAAAGAGGCTGTTAAATGGATCTGGAGCTAGGAGTAACTTTCTTAATTTAAAATAAATAAATCCATAGCAGTTTTACTCCAGGGAGTTACAAAACCACTGTTAACTTCTGCAGAAATATGATTTTTATCCTGTTTTGTTTTTTTTTTAAGTATTATTATTTAATCCACAAAAAAGAGAGGAGTATAGACTGGGGAAAATAGACCTGCTGGGTCTCTGCTTCTGTTTGGTTTGGGGTTTGTTTTGTTTTGTTTTTACTGTGGGACAGCTGGGGTTTTTTCTTGAATTCACTTTTTTCCACAAGCCAGGAAGGATATCGAGTCAATTCATGTGGGTACCTGTCAAGTATATTTTCAAGGCAGCTTTAATTTTCAAAAACATGTCCTTGATAAGCTTGTCCTGCACATTCATAAAGCTGCTTTGTCGTGACAGAGAACTGAAACGTTGGTCTTACCAGCCTCTAGCAGTAGTTTTTAACAGAAATAATTTCTAGTTCTTAGTCTGATGGAAAGTTGCCGTGCAGCATAGCGCAGTCTTTGAATCTGCTGACAAATTACAGGCCTTCTCAGTTTCCACAGCAGCAAGAGAGTAAATTTTTTAAGATGGAGATAGTTTGGTGTTTTTGGTTTTTTTACTGCTTATCAAAACACTGAAATTGATAATACCGGTGCAGCCGCGAAGGCAGCTACTGGCTGTGATCATGGGGGAGAGCTTGGCAAAGCACCCAAATAGAGTTTGGAGGCATTGTTCTCATGGGAATGCGTTGCTCTCTTTAATAATCTTTTAATATTTTTCCATGCTCTAAAAGGCATGATTTTTTTTTTTTTTTTAAAGTCCTGTGTATGTAGAAAGGATTCTGGAGGGGTTTATTTTTTTCCCATACAGATAATATACAAGTGCCCTGAAATACAGTAAGAAGGGACTGACAGCCCCAGCTTGCTTAAATGTCATCTGCCTTCCAGTTCACATTCATTTTCTTCCTTTGCCTCACACTAATAATGTTTTAGATGAAGTTTTTAAAGCAGCTCTTTTACCCAGAGATGCCGGGGAAGTCTGGAAGCTCGGAGTCTCTGTGTTAAAGCAGTTGATGTGCTCTTTCATGTTGTTTGAGATGTTTTCCCTTGTGGTCACTCTTGCTTCTAGTCAGACTGTCTGGAGGATACTTAGCATTTATCTCAAATGACTTTTGAGTGATTTGATGACTATCATGTTGTTTCTGTGACTTTGGTGATATTTCAGTTGATGGTCTCCTCTATATTTGCTTTGCTTAAACTAGTAGCTAAGAAATGGGGTGCTAATCGGGTGAATAACAGCTGATTTGAACAGAAGGTTTGGTGTCTGTTTTATAACTGGAATGCAAAATAATAAAAAAATCCTTTCTATAGAGTATAGTGCAAACTGACACTTTGCCTTTTTATAACTATAAGAACGTTTTTAATTTTTTATCCCCTAGAACATGGTGATGAGTTTCCGGGTCTCAGATCTTCAGATGTTGCTGGGTTTTGTTGGCAGGAGTAAAAGCGGACTTAAACATGAACTAGTCACCAGAGCATTGCAATTGGTCCAATTTGACTGCAGCCCTGAAGTTTTCAAGAAAATTAAGGAGCTCTATGAGACTCGGTACGCCAAGAAGACCTCTGAAGTCGCGCAGCCTCAGCCCCAGCAGCACCG